TTTAATTGTGAAATACTATTAATTATTATGTTATACTAATCTATACATTATTTCTCAGGTGAGAGCCAAGAGATCTATAATGACAGGAACAAAAGAGTCCAAACTTGTGAACCAGGTTTGGGTGGCTTTGGGTATCGATCCGAAGACAACTCCCAATCACTTAACTCTGGGAGAGATTGGAATGGAGTCCATGTTTGCTGTGGAACTGCAACAGGGATTGGAGAGAGAGTATGACATTAAGGTTACCTTAAATGACATCAAAAACATCACAATCGGAATGATGAAGGATTTCGAAGTCGGAAAAGTCGATGAAATGAAGTGCTTTGCCGAAGAGATTAAGACCTGTCGCACGAAGTTATGTAAAGTGAAGTTCATTATACCTACGGATGCCTATCAACGACTTAATAATGTGACGACTGGAAGACCCCTTTATTTCTTGCCTCCACTCGAAGGCATCTTCGCATCACTGGAAGCGTTGGCCGAAAAGATAGAACGACCCGTCATTGGTCTCAATTGGCTCAAAGATATGGAGAAATTGGGATCTCTTAAGGAGATCAGCAAATATTACACAAATCTCATGAAAATTCTTGAACCTCAAGGAGATTATGACATATTTGGCCACTTTTATGGTGCACTCATTTGTATGAAAATGTTGAAGAAAGCGCCGGTGGGAAGGGCTGTCATAATAGACATGTTGTCTGAGATAAATCTGGACGAAGAGATGTTATCCGACGACTATTTGGTCGAAATGATTATATCTTTCATAGGTAAGGACTTGCCGTCTGTTATGAAGGCTAAGATCCGACGCGATATCTCAACCAAACCCGATGTTAAGTCGAAACTCGAAAAGCTTACGACAGAGTTAAAGGAGTTTTGTGGAAAAAGTCTCGTGAGTCGAGACTTGGATGAGATTCTCATGAGTTCCTTCAAAAGGGCCAAACTTTTCACTACATATCGCCTGAATATGAAGACTAAATTCAAGAAAATGAAATACAATATCGCAGAGAAATACATGAAAATGAATGGAAAGATATTAATCATAAAACCCTATGAATTCGGTGAAGACCCTAACGCCGATGAGATCACCGATAAGATAAAGAACGCCTATTTCCTACCCGAACAGGTATTTGTGGCTCTATTGATAACAATTTTAATATATTTTTATTAATGTTAATGTTTTTATCAAATTTGACACTAAATAGGGTTTGGAAGGAAAGCTAAACTTCGAGACAATTGACGCGACCGGAGAGGAAATGGAGGCCCAGAAGACTATTGAGAAGATGGCCTCTTCTATCAATCAGTATTTGTCCAAAAAATAAAGTGTAATCCATATGAGAGCCATTATTATTGCTATTATTCTACCAGTATACTGCACTTGTAAACATTATTTTATACATTATTTTATACATTATTTTATACATTATTTTATACATATATTATATTATTTTATAATACAATATTTACTATTACAAAAAATAATACTATATTTTAATTTTAATTTTTACTTATATTGTTAAAGCATATATTTAATGAATTAAATATTTAAAAATATTTTAGCTGTTTTTCAATAGCTTATTTTTATATCAGATAAATGGGAGGAAAGTGTGAGAAATCATTAAAAGTAGGCGCCGGGAATCGAACCAGGGTACATGTCTGGTGTCTTAAATTGGTGATTTGTAAATATTTTTAATTCTTATTAAAAGCATCTGAATCTTACTAAAAAAAATTTTAATGTTAATTTTCATTTATATTCAAATGACTTTCAATAATGTTTTCGTACTTTAAACTACTAACTTACTGCACATGTTGGCACAAATGCAAACATCTTTTTAGGGATAAAGGGAAACAATTAAACGTTAAGTAATAATAAATTGATTATCAGTCAATGGTCTGGAAAATGAAAAATACAAATCCAGTTTATACTCTCTATAAGCAACACATTTCCATAGCACCGGCCGCTTCTATGGTATGTATAATGTTATAGCCTTCCTGTAAGAGCACATTCACTGAACAAACAAAAGTACAGTAAATCTTATAAATATTTAAAACAATTAGGAATAGTTTGAATTTCATATACATGTGTTAACGTGTATGAAAAGTTGTGTAACTTAATTCATAAAATCTGTTGGTTTAGAAAATGAATTCACTGTAAGTGTAAATCAATATGAATGAGTGAAATATTTAATTAAAAGTTAATTAACAAATGTGAGTCCATATGTCTATTGGACAGCCATTTAAGGCTCATAGAAGTAAATAATTGTGATTAACGTCTGCCAAGACATGGCTCTCACAATGCGGTCAAAGAGCACTGCATTAGTGTTATGTATATTAGTATTAAGTGATCAGATTCTGGAGGGTCTGTCCCTTCCGGACAATAGTGAGCGAGAGATTGAGTTGGAATACGAACACAAAGAGCCGACCAAAGAGAAGGAAGGCGGCGATGGGGGCGCTGACGGNTGTTATGTATATTAGTATTAAGTGATCAGATTCTGGAGGGTCTGTCCCTTCCGGACAATAGTGAGCGAGAGATTGAGTTGGAATACGAACACAAAGAGCCGACCAAAGAGAAGGAAGGCGGCGATGGGGGCGCTGACGGGGGCGACGGTGCCGACAAAGGAGGTGCTAAGAAAGGCAAAGGAGGGAAGGGAGACAGTGGTGATGCGGGAGGCGGTGATGGGGGAGGCGGTGATGGAGATGGAGGCAATAGCAAAGAAGGCAAAGACAAGAAAAAAGGTGGAAAGGGTGACGGAGATGGAAGTGGTGGCGATGGAGATGGAGGTGACGGTAGCGGAGAAGGTGGAGGCGGCGATGGCGACGGAAAAGGGAAGGGAAAGGACGGAAAGAAAGGAAAGAAAAAAGGCGGTGAAGGCGACGGTGGGGATGGCGGTGATGGTAGTGGTAGTGATGAAGGCGGAGGCGGAGGCGATGGCAGTGATGGTGACGGCGACGGAAAGAAGGGAAAGAAAGGCAAAGGAAAGGATTCAAAAGAAAAAGATGAAGACGGAGAGGGCGGTGGCGATGGAGACGGTGGTGGCGGAGGAAAGAAGGGGAAGGGAAAAGGCAAAGGAAAAAAGAAAGGAGACGGCGATGGAGATGGAGATGGCGGTGATGGAGAGGGAGAGGGAGGCGGTGGTGACGAAGATGGAGGAGGAGGCGGAGGAAAGAGCAAAGGGAAGGACAAGAAAAAGAAGAAAAAGGGTGGGAAGAATAGCAATGAAGTGGGTCTTCCAGGTTCGTACGCAAAGGCTGGAGGGGCTATTGGGGGTATTGTGGGCACTGGCAGTCAAACCATCAAAAAGGGTTCAATGAGTGGGATAGCCAAAGCACTGGACGACAGGTTCGCTACGATGGACCTCTTGGGTAACCCGCATATGGGTGTACCCGAGGATATGATCGGACACATCCGGATGTGTGCGTAAGTATTACGACAATTGAACATTGGATTCAATTTATATACAAAATAATAATACTTACAAATCACTGGTCAGGCAATTCATATACGGGGGAATTCACAACTTGTTTTTCCTGCTCATCCGATACCCGCTTAAGATCTTGTCGAAAGCCATTCTGTTGACGGGAGCCCTGTCCTTCATGGCCACGTATGCCAACTGGTGCGCCAATCCCATCGCGTGGATGGACTTGACGAGCGAAGGCAAGAAAGTGAACGCTCACATCGAAAACCTCGCGAAGTTCAAGGAGGAGTTCAAGGGTCGTGTCATTTGGACCATCGACAAGGCCAGGCAGGAGGACAAACAGATGTACCTGTGCTGGTATGCTCGCTCACAGTCACTTCAATTGTACGCTTACTATTAGCCACTTTAACATACGGTAACAGTAACGTCACGTGAAGTCCTAATGTTCTTCTTCCACAAGCGCCTTCACGGGCTTAGCGAGCTGATGGAGGTCTCGATATACTGGGCTGACATGTTTGAGACGCTCAAACACTACTGGTGAGTCATATTTAATACTAGGATTAGAGTCACTGGTACTAATTGGATGAATTAGTAACTGATCACTAAATGTGTGAATCCCTGTCCCTATCGAACTTTATGGTCATGCCCAGCCTCCGCCAGCTCCTCCATCTGGACAGCGGGTGGTTACTTCTCGGGCTCTCTCATCACGGAGTCAGACAGTAGTGAGACATGAAGCTTAACAACCTGGTTAACCTATGACCACAACATTCTCTGTAATAATATCCGATAATTATTTTGTATAAAAGTAAAATTTAAACATCATTTTCAAATGGGATCAATTTTTCCAATACTCTCAAATAAATGCTAACTTATTAAAACTTAAATAACAATTAAGATCAAGTATTTTTTTAGTATTTTTGTGTCATGTTTCAAGTGTATCAAGTTTTCCACCTGATCACACCAATTACAATCATTCTTGGTTCTCAAATTATTTAAAACTCAATTTTATTGACATACTCGGCCTCCCTGACCAAAATGTACTTTTCGGACAACTAATAATGTACAGTATTTAATGGGCTACACGATTTTCCAATTATTACTGAGTTTTCTAACATTTACTACTGTATGATAACGTAAGCGTATAAATATGATTATAAACCTGTATTTTGTTACTATCAGTGAAAAAACTATTACTGTGTTGATATAATTATATAAGCTTTTAAAATTTTTATTGGAAAATTGTATTCAATTTGTATGCTACAGAATAATACTTTTGAATCATCTATTTGATAGAGAGTGTAGTATTTAGTAATAGATTTATTATCACTAATATTGATATTTTAATAGAAAGAGTTGAGAGAAGAAACTAAATGAAGGTTTCGTATGAAATACACCGGAATAAGCCGTTCATAGTCCTTAAATCGGTTATATTTACACCAGATGTGTTCAGGTGGGTAAGAGTGAGCATTATTACAGTACTTGTAATCATTTTATTAAAAACTAATCACAAATACCATAACACGTGTATGAGTAGGGATTACTAATTGCTTATAATGAAAGGGATTATAAAAATTGTCAAATAATATAACATTAATTAGAATTGACTCTAAAATTGTCTACCTGTAAAAAACATAAATAAATAATGTCTGGACACATCTGATTTACACACATTTTGAAAATTTAATTTTCAAAATGTATTTCATTTTCATTTGAAGGTCTAAATATCAATTATAATCTGTCTGAACACAAGTTTGTGAGTACTGGTGCTCACTTTATAATACTCTAATTATTATTATTAAACTATAATCCATTACAAAATTTTTAAGTATTTGGTTAATGACATTGTTTTTTGTCAGTTATGTGTATAATACACGTGTAGTTTTTTAATCAGAATTTAAGCCTTACCAATCAATCAATCAGCCTAAATTATCCTGTTAAGTTTTTGCACGTGACATCATTATGTTTACTGTAATTTGTTTTGTATTTTAGCCATAATATAACGTCACTCACAAATAAATTGATTTCTGACACAAGTAGTGTTTATAGTTATTTATAATATCTATAAATAAGCCTACAATGTTATCCATTTAAATTAAATTATAAATTTTATTATAAGCTTTAAAATTAATATCATAGTCATGTATATTGAATTAATGTTGAATATCTCATAAAACTTTACTCATATATCATATCTTGATGTTTATTATTAAGTTATTTTAAAATAATATTTTCAAATATGTTTCTCATATAATGTAACTCTAGAATTAAATTAGTTATGAAATATAAGTTATTGACAATAATATTTTAATCACACGTTAAAACATATGATTATATTTCTAAATATAATATGATTTTTATTTATTTAAAATTTATTTTTGTTATTATTAAAGTACTATTTGTGGTTTAATGAGTTTTTATTTTTATTTTTACAAACCCAATGTCAATTGAATAATATTTTATATTTTCACAAAATATTTTAACACGCAACTCAATTTGTAATTTCAATATATTTTATTTTAATTACAAAAAATTAATTATTCAAAGTAGGTTTTTTATGAGACATAATTATGAATTAAATAGTTAGGTATCATATACATGTACTGGATAAATTTCTCTATCAATTTTCAGATTCTATGTAATGATAAACATATCGAAAAATTATGAATTAAAACTCAAGTAAATAAAAAATTCATTAATTAAATTACAGATCATTAATTATTTATAGTCATGAAAGCTTTGTAAAAACCAAATTAATTAAATTGAATTGAAAATCTTAATTAACGGCTAATGCTCAAGATTTTGAGATTTTTTAAACCAATAATAAAACTATAAAACCAAATAATACTCAATAACAACATTCCTATAGAAATACGTCAATAATAGCGATTAATCAGAAATACAATCATGCTTTAGACACTAATTACTATTTTAAATATAATAAAATTTATTAATATATGGTTTTGAGTGATATATAAAAAAGGGTGACACAAATCCAATGATTCATTTTAACTTTGCTTTCATTATTACTGTTTTATAAGAAATGCATTGAAAAGTTATTTTAAAGAAGAGTAGAAATATATCATTGGGTTTGTGTCTCACATATTATTTTTCAAAGAAAGTGAAGGAGAGAGGGAGAGAGAGAGAGAGGGAGGGAGAGAGAGAGAGGGAGAGAGAGAGGGAGGGAGGGAGGGAGTTTAATAACAAATCATAGCCTAAAAAGTTTTATAATTTATAAATTCTGATTGATTCTACAATTAATCTTTATTTAAACCTCATATCTATAATTTTATTATTATATTCTTATATTCATTGGAAAATACTTTTCAAAACAATAGAATCATTATTTTAAATAATAAATCAGATTAAATTGATTATAAGATAAATTTGATTTTAATGGAGTTAAAAACATATACAAATTGGTTGTATAGTACAGTACTACCGAACCAATAGTAGGCTACTGGTGCCTATTAATTTAATAGTTTACTGTTAAATCCCCACCCTTTGGGAATTTTGGCTTAAATTTTATTTTTCAATTACGCCTGGAGATACAGACACTGAAAATACATTTTGAACAAAAAGAGTATAATTAATTACTGGGATTTAAAATAAAATTTTGCGGAATATTTTTGTTACCCAATTGAAAACAAATTCATATCGACAAACACACTATAAAACTTGGAGTAATACCTCAACCAATTAAGTAGATTCTTATAAAATCATTGATAGTTAAAATTAGACACAACTATCAGTGATCAGAATAATAATTATATGTTGTATTCCCTATTTCGGAAAATTTCACGCATATAAACTATATTTGACATTAAACTAACTTTTTTGAGTTAGGTATCACTATTTGAGATAGTGGTATAAAATCTATAGTTCTAATAATAATGTAATCATAAGTTTTTAAGAAGTTTGCAATACTTTATCTCAAGCATAAACTTATAAGTTTTAAAATATAATACCATATTCTGTAATATTTGTAATATTTGATAATATTTGAAGTGTTATCGAAATCTCCGACACTTCATATTCTTCGACACAATGGCTTCGTATCCGCTGTTAATTACTGAGGATATAGTGATCAGTGGAATAAGTGGTCGGTTCCCGGAATCCAATTCGACCGACGAGTTCGCACAAAGACTCTATAATAAAGAGGATTTGATTACAAGTGATGACAGGAGATGGCCAACAGGTTTGTCAATAATTTTTAAGTTAAGAAAATCTCATACAGTTTATTTAATAAGAGCTGTAACTGTGGAATAATTGACCAGAGTACAATTGATAAAAACATTTTTGCCAAAATAAACTCATTCTTTGGGCTTAACGACTAAGAAATTAATTGTAAAAAATAAATAACAATCTCTTAGCCATTATAGTCCATAGAATTTGTTTTATATATCATCAAACAAACTGATCAATAATTTGTCACACATTTAACTAATTTATAACTTGCATTAATAAACTCAAATAATGAATAAATTAATTTAATATTTCTTAAAAGATTTGTTTGGAATGAATAGTCGTATGGGAAAAGTGAAAGACGCCGATAAATTTGACGGACCTTTCTTTGGGCTCATGCTTTCAATGGGCGAGTCTATAGACCCTCAGTCCAGGATCCTCTTAGAGACCACATACGAGGCTATAGCTGATGCGGGTTTGCATTAAACAATATACGCTAGCTTTTCAAATAAAACACATTTTATACTAAAAATGGTGATTATTTAAATAAAGGTCTAAACCCGCAATCACTTCGTGGCTCAGACACCGGGGTTTATATCGGGTTTTCTACGTTCGGAATGCCTGACTGTATGCCCCAAGACGTACAGCCGGACTCCCA